ACTGCCACCCGAGGCCCCTCACCTTTGTCATACAGCCACCCCTGAGCCCCTCATCTATGTCACGAGCCTGTCCACCCCCATGTTCTCCTCGTCCTTGAAGATAATGTCTGAGATGTAGTTTCGGGTGAGCACCTTGAAGCGTTCCGAGTTGCTGACCCTCGGAACTCCTGCTGGCCCCCAGTGTCTTCTCAGTCACACTGGGGCTGAAATGATTGCAGGAGAACGGGGGGAGCTTGGCAATCCTTTGTCTCCTGCCCATCATCCTGCCTGGCCTGCAGCCTCACACCGCCAGACTAGCAAGGCATCGCAGAGCTACAACATGATCAAGAGCAGCTACATGGTGCATCTAGTCTCCTTGGGGCTGTGGATAATGCAAGCTCCATTTGCCATCAGCACATCAACAGCCATGTATGCACGGGGTTGGGTAGAGTGTGCCCAGACACACCCAACACACCCCTTGGGCATGCCTATGGTAACCAGGTATTTATTAGAACTCACAGAGTTCCCAGTACTCCCCCTGACAGTGTCATTATTGAGTTTTCTCTCCAGAAGGTTGGATCCATCTATGTTCAGACATGACCTGGACAGCAATGCTGGCTCAGAGATGGCACAATCATGTAAATCCTGGAGTTTATCTGTTCTTGGCTGTGTTCACAAATGTCTGACACAGATGCAGCCCTAACCATGTGACTGGTTACAATGCTATAATGTCTTTAAAGATCCACTTTAATTAAAGTGACACTAAACTCAGGTGTTAAATCTTAAAAATACATTCAAGTACCATAACTATTAATAAAAATGTATCTTATTTGTGTATCACTCGGCTGTAGACCCTCCAATCATCTCTGAATTGGTGCTTTTCCTTCCTTCTGGATGGGGGGCTACTTTTGTTGTCCTATGATGTATAACAGGAATATCAGAAACAACATATTTTGATTTATATGTTTGGGTTTAGATACAATTTAAAGCATATCTAAACCCACCATAGCATCCCACGCAGCCACTATGAGGTGAAGGACATAGGGGGCCAAGTTAGGACCAAGGGGAGATGTTCTTTGGGTCCATCCACTGCCCACATCTTCTGTTCTGTTACATTCATGCCGTGCATCTGCCAGTGCTCTGTTTTGTTGATCCTCTCCCTCCTCCCTGGCTGTCAGTGTGTGCCAATTCCCTGAACAAAGATGCAAAGTGATCTCCCCACAATGCTTGCCTACAATTCCTGGCTCTTTTCTAATTAGTTAGAGCCAGAAGGCACGGGAGAAAACCATGCAATGCGGGGGAGGGGGGCTCAATAAACATTTAGCATACAGATATGCTGTTGCGCCCATAGGATAGAGATGGGGTACATGGTCCAATCAATGGCTTTTCCTTTTGTGTAGAGAGCCAATCACCTTTACCTCATAACAGCTAGTGGGGTCCTTGTTTATTGACACTTAAGTATTGGCATCACTGAGTAGAATGGTCACCTATCAATCATCAATCCTGATGATATATGAGGCATGGGGGGTGCTGCATGCAAAACAAGGAGCAGACTTTTGGCCAAGAACAAAATTTGTTGCAAACTTGAATAATTATTCAGAAACTTTCCACCAAATTTAGGAGGTTAACAAGAATGTCTGGAGTGTTTGTGAGGTCCTACAGGTGCAGGGAGCCAATGATTTTTCAAATTTTGTATCCGACCGATTCGCCTACTCGGGGGTTATGAGGGAATGATAAAACTAATAGTATTTGTTGTTGTTATCTTTCTTGTAGTCATTTTTGAGGAAAATACACTTCCGAGATCCCACTGGTGAAGAAGTTTTTTTTACCAAGAAAGGAGAAATGTCCACATCCTATCAAATCCATAATTATGTCTACAGAAGGATGAACAGAACTTTCTATTCCTATGTATTTGGAAGTTTTAAAGCAGCATCTGAAGAAGGAGAAGAGCAGGTTGTTATTTACCCGAATCCCATTTACTGGAAACGCGGTGAGGTCAGTCATTATAAAGAAGCACATAAAATATCTAAAATACAGCAAAGGAAGCCCATGTAATAAAGGCAATGTAAACTTGACTACTTCATAATAATCTCGCCACCTAGTGTATATCTAGCAAGGAGTATTTAGCCCAGGTGGAGCTGGTTATACCTTTTTATATGGTGTAAAGAGAAGATACCTTATCTGTGGGTCTGTAAAAATAAAAATCCACACAAACTTCATAAAGTTAATGTTCCTCTAGTGCTGAGAGTTGTTTTTGGAACTTTTAGATAAATCGTCCCACCATACTTTAACATATATGGGGAGGGTTAGTCTGATTAAAATGATTATTTTTCTTATGAATCTGTTGTATAGTATACAAATGCTTCCTATTGGTTTAAAAATCGAAGATCATAAAAAACTGCTCCAGGCTCCCCTGAGGTTTATATGGGGAAAAAGACATTCTAAAATCAGTCTTATATATTTAGACATGTGCGATTCGTTTCGTTCCGAATCGAAATTCGGACGAATTTTCGGAAATTCGGATGTATCCGAATTCCGAATTACAGATATAACGAATGCAAACGAATCCGAATTTCCATTTCCGAAATTTGGTAGCGTTAGTACGAACGTTCGTTTCGTTTTCTGTTCTTATTCGTTTCTTATTCGTTTCTTATTCGTTTCGTTCGTTGGAGCAAAGTGACATTAGAGAAGGAGAAAAATATTTTTTCCCCCTCAAATGTCACTTTGCTACAAACGAACGAACGAAACGGAGAAGAACAGAAAACGAAACGAACGTTCGTACTAACGCTACCGAATTTCGTCCGAATCCGAATTCCGAATCCGAATTGACTTTCACACCCGAATCCTGAAAAACGAAATAACACAAATCCGAATTTAAAACGAAACGAAAATTAAACAAATTTTTTGGCAGTGCACATGTCTAATATATATATATTACAACAGCCTGTGAAAAATGGAGGACTTAGTTTCCCAGTTTGGTATTATATACTTTAGCAGCTGCCATTAGATATTTAGGAGATTGGATTCATGGCACGAGCAGTTATACAGATCAAAATTTGATACCTGATCTCAATCTCGTGTATATGCTCCATATGCATAGAGAATGTCTGTCTGATGCAAACCCTCCTCTATATTTTGGCTGGATTATCTGGCATATGTTGTGAGACAGACATCAGATTATCAGCCACTCGTAGTTGTGAATTTGTTTCGGGGAAACTTAGATTTTCTCCATGCTTTGAGAGACCAGCTTTTTAAAGAATGGTCAACCCATGGAATTTCGGTAGTAAGGTCTCTTACGTCAACTTCTAACCATAAGCTGCTGACTTCTCAAGCCACTTCAGAGAGTTTCCCATTCATGACGTGAATTATGTACTTGTATGCAGATACAATCATATGTAATATGTATTCTGAAAAAATCTTTCACCTTCGGAGCTTATATCTCCCTTATGGGTCTTATTAAAACCCATAAGAAGTAGTAGTAGTAGTAGTAGTAGTAGTAGTAATAGTAGTTGCCATGGACAGATTATGGCTGGTGGGAGGGGCCGACAGGGTACTGTACAGAGCTTCCTGAAAACATCATGGCACCCTGCCTCAATACTCTTCTCAAGAGCCCTCAGCCCTGTGCAAGCATTGGCTGTCTCTTAGAAGGAGTTATGCAAATATCAAAATACCTTGATGGGTGGATGTAAGTCTAGAAGATTAAAAATTCCTAGGCACCCTAGGTAAGGGAGTCAGGGATAGTCAGGCTAGGGAGGAAAAGACTAGATGATAAAGGACATCCTTCAACCTAGAGTGAAATCAGAGTACACTCTTGTAGTACCGTAGAGGAGCCTGTATAACTGTGCAAGACTGGAGGGAAGGAGTTTAACTTCAATATTACATCATCTTTGTATTTTTATTAATATCTAATCTGATCCCATACAGTGGCTGCTACTCATGTTTGTCTCCTTCTAGGTCCCTGTATCAGTGTGTTCTACAGATTGTCCTCCAGGTAAAAGAAGAGTCCAAGAGACAGGGATGCCTCTGTGCTGCTTTTACTGTGTTCATTGTCCGAAGGGGGAGATATCCAATCATACAGGTAGGTTGTCTTCTTTGCTAATTAGTTCAATATGCTCATGAAATGACCCGCCATCATGAATATACTGTGTGAAGCCCCTAAGATGGTATATGCAAAGATTATGTGTATGGAGTGCATAATCAGGATACAACATTGTACATCCTCTTTAACCACTTCAAGACCAGGTGTTCAGACCCCCTTCCTGGCCAGGCCATTTTTCAGTATTCAGCGCTGCGGTACTTTGATTGACATTTATTCCGTCATGCAACGCTGCACTGACATGAATTTTATACCATGTTTTGGGGACATATTGCGACAATATTTTATACCATGTTTTGGGGACATGTCGGGACCTCATACAAGTGATCCGCCGGCTCTATAGCCGGCGGATCGCTTGTATATTAACGGGCATCTCTGCCTGTTTTCAAACGTCGGGGGTGTGTCTGAGAGGACGTCTAAAGACGCCCGCTCAGATCTAGGGAGCTCCCGGCCGGCAGTTTTTTTACTATGGCCGGCCCGGGGGCAGTTAAACAGTAAAGGTTTTGGTAGCGGAATCAGATGGAACTGCTGGTAAAAGATCCTACTTTCTTCTCCCTGACTAGGGGAATGCTTGAATCCGGCATGTGCACAGTGAATAAAGTATACTTCCTTCTATAGAGAAACATGAGAAAATGGGGACAGTTGGGATCCATCAAACATCATTCCCGCCTACTGTATGTGGAAATAAATACTTTGATTACAACTCTCAGTGTAGCACCCTAATCTTTGTCTTTGTGAAATAGTTCTCTTATGACAGGTTTCCATGAAATGTACATTTTATAACAGCTTCTTTATCTTTATAGACAAAGGCTCGTGCCAGAAGTGTCCAGAAGACCAGTGGCCAAATGACTACGACCAATGTGTACCAAAACCTGTTGATTTCCTCTCCTATACAAATACTCCGGTGACTCTTTCCATTCTTCTTATTACTGGGTTCTTTTCTGTTATAACCACATTAATATCGATCATCTTCTTTATGTATCGAAACACGCCTGTCATCAGAGCTAATAACCGAGACTTGAGTATCATTCTTCAGGTCTCCATCATGCTGAGCTTCCTCTCTGTGTTTTTATTTCTGGGTCGTCCTGTGCATATAACATGCATGCTTCGTCATACAGTCTACGGGGTCCTCTTCTCAGTAGCAGTCTCCTCCATTCTGGCCAAGACTATGCTGGTCTACATGGCCTTCAAAGCCACCAAACCTGGGACCTCCTGGAAGAAGTTCATTGGAGTAAAGATTCAGATCTATCCGGTTCTCATTTGTTCTTTATTCCAAATTGTAACCAGTATAATCTGGCTGTCTGTCTCTCCCCCCTTCCCTGAAGCCAATACTGACTTGTATCTGGACAGAATCATCATTCAGTGTAATGAAGGATCTGTACTGGCATTTTCCATCCTCTTGGGCTACATGGGGCTTCTGGCAGTTGTGAGCTTCATTGTGGCTTTCCTGGTCAGGAATTTGCCAGATAGTTTCAATGAGGCCAAATACATCACCTTCAGCATGCTGGTGTTCTGCAGCGTCTGGATCACTTTTATCCCGGCCTATCTGAGCGTTACAGGAACGAACACAATGCTTGTGGAGATATTTGCCATCATATCGTCCAGTGCTGGGACTTTAGCTTGTATTTTTTTTCCAAAATGTTATATTGTATTGGTGAGACCAGATTTAAACTTAAAAAGAAATATAATTAAACAAATGGATCACAGATAGAAGCTTTATAGACACAAGATTTCTTTGTGAGGACATTACATGTGATTTCAATACTCCAACTAGCAATTAAACCGCTGCATTTAAGCTTTGCTTTTCCATGTAAGAGCTGCCTCTATGATGACTGATGAGGGCATATTCCAGAAGCAGCACGGGGGGTGGTGGGAGTACAGATCCACAGAATGGATGAAGCAGAAGCAGTGAGATCCTTGCCCTGCAGGTCCTAAGGTACAGCTTCCTCTCCAGCAAGGAGAACATTGAGCAGCACAGTCATGACATAACAAAACCTCACTCCATATCTAGTGAGACTGGCAGTCAAGAGCACCGGTGCCTTAGATAAACTCCAACTGCAGACATAATGTAGATTTAAATTACTGAGCATATTGAAGCTGTGTACGATACCTCCACTCCCATGTGACAACTCTAGAGTCTAGCCATTGGCCACTAAGACTCCAAGTTCTGCATTGACGGGAAGCAGCGGAATATCACATGTTCCTAAATACCCAGATGTACACATAGGAAAGGTAATTATTATCATAAATGCTTCTGAGGGTCACTATATTAAAGTGATATTTCGCCTTAACTTTAACCTATACCATATCCAACTCTGAGCCTTGAAACCCTCAGCCAGACCTCTTTCACCCAAATTCTACATACATTACGGAACCCAATAAGGGTATTCCCTTTCCCTACTCTTCTATATATTTACTATGGAAAAACTTGCAACTGCACTGAAGCAAAATCTTGCAAAGTCTTGCTAGATCCCTAAAATCCAGACTGGGCCAATTAACACTAAGCTATCCTTGTTGGCAGATGATCTCCTGGTATGTGTAAAGGTGGCCATACACTTTACAACCATCGCAAGACCTTAGTCTTGCGATGGTTGTAAAGTACTTTAAAAAAACGTACGATCTGCCCATCTTGGACAGGCAGATCGTACTTGCGATCATCGCAAGCCTGCCCCCTTGAGGGGCGGGCTTGCGATGACTGCAATGAGGGGCGGGTTTGCAAGGACGGCAAACGGGCAGTGTGCGCGTGCACACACCGGCCCGTTCGTCAGGTGTCGAACAAGCAGGCCACTCACTCGCCGAGAATCGTACGATTCCAAGCGGGTTTTCCAGCCTGCTTGTTCGATGGAAGACGTGCGACCGTACAGTAGAAACGGTCGCACGCCTTCCATACACTGTACGATTCTCGTACGATCGTGGGATTTCCTGCGATTCTCGTACGAGAATCGTACAGTGTATGGGCACCTTAACACAGCCACATACTGTATTTCCATTCCATCCATTGCTAACAAATTTAGACCTTTTTGTAAATTACTTTTAATTTGAGCTTCTCAATATCTCCCTGCCACCATCCCAGGTGGATCTCTTGAAAGACGACTCCCTTTTTAAATTCTGCACCAAATTACTATCTTTCATTATGGCATATACGATAACAATTAACTGTGTTTTCAATGCTTATTTCAGACCATGCCAATAGAGATCCCTGTGACATTTTCTAGGAAACATCATTCAATTTTAATAAAATTATTTCAGGATCTGGATGCTCCAGACTCATCCATAAAACTCTTTCCCAAGACATACTCCCCTACCACCTATGCCTAATCTTAAGTCACTAAAGTGTCCAATTCACCCCCCCTCCTTGACGTGTAACACACAGTCCGAAAGGGTAATTTGTTTTTCTCCCACCACATACTGGAACACAAACTAGGGGTTGTTAGAAACCTGCAGCCCAGGGCTTTAAATGGTAACGACAAAACACAGAGTCCAAACACAAAGAACAGCTCTGCATGTTGTCTTTTGCTAGACTACTTAACCACTCCTGCTGTCTTCGTATCTACAGCATATATTGAACATTTTGTACATGGAGATCATATCCCCCCTTAAGCTCCTCACCTCCAATGTGAACGTGTTTACATTTAGTAGCCTTGGCTCGTAGCTCTGGTCCTCCATACTTATTGACTTGCAGTCCAAGATAAGAACAGGGAATGTTTACAGGACACAGGCCAGCTCTGAATTTCTGACAAAGAGTGACAGGTACTTTTTTGTACTTATAAAATAGATAAAACAAAACACTTCCAATGGCATATTTAACAGACCAAAAGGGAGCAAGCCTTGCAGGTTCTGTTTTAGCGATTTCCATGGTTCTTGTTGTACATGGGCTTCACACTCATGGGCTCAAACTTAAAAACAATGCAAATGCAGCTATGAATTGCAGTGAATAATGGTTTGCATTTGACATGTTTTATATATGTTTGAGACAATACTTACATGCTTTTACCATGTAAGCAATAAAATAAATGCAATGCATACAAAATGAAGTGTAAGGGCAACTTAAAACAATCCAATCAAATTCAAACTGCATACACTCTGTTCTGGAGATTTCAAATACATTCCAGAAATGAACTATCGCAGCAAAATGCAAATGTCTCCGTACAGTAGATGATTCTTCTATGGATCACAAGGAAGGCTTGCATCACCAGTAGAGACAAGAGGGGGAAGTGATCATTGGTTATAAATGATAACAACTGACATTAGCTTCATGATACTAATTCTTAAAGAGGTTTCTTTCATTTTAAAATCCCTGGCCTTGGAATGTCCCTGAGTATGGAAGGAGGAGGGCCACATGTACAGGGTGTATGCTTATTAATGGGCAAAAAAGAATTTGGCGTTTATGTGATATCCTTTATCATTAGGCAAGCTTTTGGGATTCCCTTTGCCCCTTCTAACGCCTGAAGAAGGGATCTAGGGATCCAGAAAGCTTGCAACTTTAATAACTTTTAAAGCCAAGCCAAGCCAACTTTTAAAAGAAAGCCAAGAAAGGGCGTCACCAAAATGCCAAACTTTCTGCATTAATCAATGTCTAACATGCTACAATATTCTACTACTCTGATGGCCAAAGAGAAAAATACATTTTCATTATAACCATGTGTTCAAAAGTTGGCAGATGCGGCTCTGTTAAAGCGGCGACAGCATTGTCCCCCACCTCCCGAGCCCACCAGACAAACTAGCAGACACGGCTGTGTTAAAGCGGCGACGGCAGTGTCCCCCACCTCCCAGGCCCACCAGACGAACTAGCAGATGCGGCTGTGTTAAAGCGACGACGGCATTGTCCCCCACCTCCCGAGCCCACCAGACGAACTGTGTTAAAGCGGCAACGGCAGTGTCCCCCACCTCCCAGGCCCACCAGACGAACTAGCAGATGCGGCTGTGTTAAAGCGGCGACGGCAGTGTCCCCCACCTCCCAGGCCCACCAGACGAACTAGCAGATGCGGCTGTGTTAAAGCGGCGACGGCAGTGTCCCCCACCTCCCAGGCCCACCAGACAAACTAGAAGATGCGCTTTAATACAGCAGCATCTGCTAGTTTGGCAGCAGCGTGGCCGAAAAGAGCATGGAGATGACGGGGGTCTCACGCTGGGTGGAGGGGGGTATACAGCCTGAAGGCGGACTTACCGTGAGTGGACCTGTGTCTGCCCCATGCCCTGTGTCAGAATGAGGCTGAGAGCAGAGCTGCTGAGAGAGAGTGAACTCTACACACCACTGAGAAACCTGACAAACATGAGGTAACATGCTTGCTACACGGTGGGCTTGAATAAAACGTAGCCCCTAATGGGATTTGTTTATGAAAGATATTAATAATTTACATTTAATTGATCCAGCCCTAGTGCTTCATGTCTGTATAGTTCACAGGGGTTCATAGTCATCAAGACATATTGTAACCACTCACTAGTGCATATACACGGAGCACACTTAATCTGCTCTTAAAGGAGAACTATGGGGTCAGTGTGTTTCCCCATAGTTCTCCTTAGTTTAACGGAAGGACACAAACTAGCGTCCTCCCGTCACCCAAAGCTCAGTATATAGGGAGCTACAGCTCGCGGTATACTGAGATGCCTCAGCCTGAGCGGATCCCGACATCGATGTCTGGATCTGCCCAACTGCGTGAGTGACAGCTGGCTCTGCCTATCTAGAAGCAGAGCCAGCTGTACCCGCCCCCTCCGCCGTCTGTTCCGCCAGTCAGCGCTGGCGGATCGGAGCGGGGAGAGGGAAATCCAGCCCCTTCCCTGTCACGGCAGAGAGCCGTGACAGGATCGAGAGGTGAGCGAACGCCGGTATGTGTTCGCTCACCTCCCGATCTACTGAGCCGACCTGTGACAGTCTCATTGTCACAGGTCGGCTTAGAACAATGAGGTGAGTGCAAATCACTCATCTCATAGTTCTCCTTTAAATACACTCCCTGGAATTCATAAGGTGTGTTGCAGACATACTTTGGAATTAGGTGGAGCCTCCACACAACCGAGGTCAGTGCCTGCGACAAATTTATGTACATGTTGGAATCAGATGCATTAATTTGAGACCAGAGTATCAATAACATAGACATTCCATCCTCAGTGCATCTTTAGCCCCCACACACACAGCGTCATTGATTGTTATGATGCTGTCGGCTACACAGCGTCACTGGCCGTTATGGTCTTGTGCAGCCAACAGCATCCTAGCAACCAAGGATGCTAGGCAGCCAACAGTGTCACAGCAACCAAATACATTGTGGGTCAACTACATCCTAGAAGCCAATGATGCTGCAGGCTGACAGTGTCCTGGCAACCAGTGATGCTGTGGGCCAACAGCGTCCTAGCAACCTTGTCTACTGTAAATGGAAAATGAAGAGAAGATAACAAGACCTTCTCTCACTCCTTCCTACAGCAGCTTCATCCCCCCCAATGTCTGTTGCAAGTGGAAGGAAAGAGACCTGCTCTCTTTCTGAATCCTTCCTCTGTCTACAGTATCCTCCTACATGTTGTATTTACAACAACTTGTATCCTGGAGGCTGCATGCATTCCTTTGTACTTACTGTGTGTTCCTCAGGGGCCCCGCAGACAGCCCGTGTCTGAAAAAAATATTCTTTAAAATTGTTGGTTTATTTATTTCACCTTCCCTTAATTTTTTATGTGCAGATTAACCCTTTCTTCGTTTTATGGGGTTTTTTTCACTGAACTTCTATAATGGACCTTGCTGAGAGAAATGACAAACTGGACCCAAATAGAAAACCCAAATATGGGAGAAATGATTTGTAAAGGGGCTGTAATAACAGTGAGCTCTTGCTGTCTCATGTAGTGTGCCTCGTGAAGCAGGTAACTTGTCTCCAACAACTCCAATAGTATGTTCACAGTCCCTGACCATCTTCGGCAGTCTCTGACCATCTCTAGTAGCATGCCCTTCATCTTTAACCATGTTCTCTAGTAGGTCTGCAGTTTCTGACTTTCTCCTGTAGCATGTCTGCAGTCTCTGACCATCGACCTGTAGTGCTCCCCTTGCCCTCAGAGGCCTGAGGTGGACCCTCGAAGGGTAGGGAGGGCTGACATTTCACTCTCAGGGGTGGATCCTTAGCCAGGTTGTGGGATGCAATCAGGAAATTGGGCCCCAGTCACGTTAAGGACTTTTTCAGTGCTTTATTAACAAACAGCAAGACCGGAGAGGGTGTATAGGGCTTCAGACATCCATAGCAAAAATAGACAGACTCCGGACTCACCAATCCCTTCAGGCTTCCACAGTACAGACTTACTTCAGTAGAACAGGACCTTACACTGTGCAGTAGAACAAAAGCTATTGATTGCACTCACAAGTAAGTGCAATCAATAGCAGAACACCTGAAATCAACCAAACAATACCAGACTACAAAGCAGCCGGACTGATTACAGTGCTAGCAACGCTAAATTAGGATGCTAAGGGCTACACTATGTAGCATTCCTGCAGTCTCTGACCATTGCATTCGCGTGTCTACAGTCTCTGACCACCTCTTGTAGCATGTCTGCAGTCTCTGACCATCTCCTGTAGAATGTCTGCTGTCTCTGACCATCTCTTGTAGCAGGTTCTTAGTCTTTGATCATCTCCTGTGGCATCTCTCCTTTTGGAGATGTCAGGGGTTGCACTTGAGGCCCCCTGTATCAAGAAAGTTGACCACAACTGCCCTAAATTCATTGCAGTATTAACCTTGCTACATTCAATATTCTAAACGAGTACAATAGCACTTTAGTACAATTATACTTTTTCTTTTAAAAGCACTTTTCAACTTAAGAAATTAAAAAACCCTCAAGGACATTCAAATAACCGTAGTAGTCACCTAAGAATAGGTGTTATGCACTCCCTCCCTCACCTTGCACTCTATATAAGATCTGTAGACTGTATGAGGAGCAGACATTACACACAGATGTCTATCAGGCCGTACTGCAGATCTGTAGAGTGGTGCACTGTGACCTCTATGAAGAGGGGTATACGGTATATATAGATAGGTCCATGTTATTATATGGAGATGCTTGGTAGCCGTTCTCTCCTCGTCTCATTCTTCTGTCTCTATGTCATCCTGTTGGTACAAAGCCAGAAAATAGGCTCGGGTCCACCGTGTTCTATAAAAAAAAAAAAATACCAATTCAATGCACAATACTTCCAGGACGGAGATTATATTATCGGTGGAGTGTTCCCTGTAAATTCTGTTGCTTATATTAGAAAAAACTACAACTTCAAAGACTTGGATGACTCATTTTGCAGCGTGTAAGCACATTCAGCACCTTCCTAAGAATACTTACACTGCGTACATCAAGGGTTAATTCCAGGCAGATGTGACACTTTTACATTTGTAAAGTTTTGAAGAGTATGTTCTGTACAATTACATCTTATTCAGCGTTAGGCCTCATTCACACAACAAACAGCCGGCCCGTACAGATTCGTGCTGCGTGCACGGCCGTATGGGGCCGCTCCCGGGAAGGAGAGGTGCTGCGTGTGATTTGTACGCAGCAGCCTGTTCTTCTCTCTCGGTGGAAGTACGCAGCCGTACTACGCGTCTGTGCGGGTCTCCGTACTCGTATGCAGACAGGGTGGATCCTTTCTGCGTCCAAGCAGGGACACCCGTACCCTCGAGGACGTGCAGTACGGGTGAGCCTACGGCGTCGTACGGCTGTGTCCTCCGATAGGGAAGAACAGGCTGCTTACAAATCACACGCAGCACCTGTCCTTCCTGGGAGCGGCCCCATACGGCCGTGCACGCAACACGGATCTGTACAGGCCTGCTGTTAGTCATGTGAATGAGGCCTAAGACAGATTCTGCAATTTCAGAAAGTAGGAGTTTTATAGGAAATGTATTGTTCATGGGCTTTCACTAGCTTTAACATGGCAAGGATATGAGGGATGATGTAAAAATATAGAACGTGTGTGTCCAGTCCCAGTCCTGTGCATGTCATAGCTGATCTGTACCAGGGAACAATGTATTCATATGGTACAATTAATTGGAACTTGTTCTATGCTGTATAAATGTGCTGTGGTATGATGTAGTGTAAGGAGGGGGAAAAGACACATCATTTGCCAGGGCATTGGGAACTGGCAAGAATATTACTCAGGAGAATGGTATGCTCACTAAAAACATTAAAGAAGTAGCTTGGGCGTACACCATTCACCAAGTTCCTCTTCCACAGCAAATGCTGCTTATGAGTAGCATGGCCGCTCTGGAAAACCACATTTATGAACACTATTCAGAAGCTTCATTAACAAATACAATATAACAACATTACACAGTATACATATTTACTTCTATTCCAGAGTAAATATTGTGTAACAATAATGTAGTTACATTGCGTTTCTTAATGAAGCTTCTGAAAAAAAAACAGTTTTAAAGAAAATTTGTTACCGTTTAGCTCTTTTATTAAAGTGTATCTAAAACCAAAACCCTTAGGGCCAAGTCACACCAGCAAGTCATGCTAAGCGCATGGCCTCTGTTGTGCGCAGACAGAAAAAGTGTTGCTGTTTGTGGCATCTAAAAGTTCTTGAAAGTCAGTGTATAACGAAATTTAGTCTGGTCACACATGCTTTGATTACCTTGTTACTAGAGGCATCCCCAGGCCGGGTGTCACCCACTGGGACGTTCATCACACACGTCATCTTGGTGATCGACGCCGGCAGACAGAGGAATGGAAGTTCATCCGATAGGATAAGGTATGCCGCAGGGTCCCCTACTCTCTCGTGCAGCTGACTGACTTTTCAGAGGGGGTGACACCAAAATGATTGTCAGTCACCCGGTGTTGGCCTCACCCCACTTGTGACGCCACTGCCTGGGATGTGCAAGAGTTAAAAACAGTAAAAGTAACATTAAAAGATGTGCTGTAATATAGAGCTTTAGCTTTGTTATATACATCATATTGTGCGTCTTCTGTTTGGAACAAGACATGCACTACAACTAATACATCAACATAATGCTTTTATTGTCAACTTTGTATTCTCCTCAGGCCCTTTCCTGGCTTTTACAGACATCTTATGGCCTTTATTTTTGCTGTGGATGAGATAAACAGGAGCCCGGATTTTCTGCCCAATGTGACCCTGGGATATCATATGTACGATCACTGTAACAATGTGAACAAGGCCATAGAGAGTGTCCTACAGATCGTGTCTGGTCCTGGAGACCTCATCCCAAACTTCTCCTGCCTAGACAGTGACAAGCTGGCCGGTGTCATCTTCTATCCATCTGCAGAGAGATCTTTACACATCGTACAGATACTGAACTTATATGGCTACACGCAGGTAATCATTATTTTCCCATAAACATAATACAAAAGTAATGCTGGCGAATATACTCAGAACTTGACCTGCAACATCACTTTAATGTCAGCTTATACCAACAGACATCAAACCTCTAAAGCCTTGGCTCTCAACTGGTGGGCGGTGACCAAAACAGGGGTCGTGACCCCATGTTCACTGGGTCCCAGCATGCCTTCCACTTTTCTAGGTGAAAGGCACAGCACTGTCAATTCTCGTGCCAAGCAGCCATTCAAAATATGCTGACCGGTGCCAAGTGTCAGCTTGAGGTGGGATAGGATGGGGCTATGGACGCGAGGGAGCTCACCCATAAGTGCATTGCTTACAGCTCCCTCGTGTGTCCTGTAGAAGTGCCTGGACCGGAGTGAAGTAACATTCTGGCTCCTGGCACCTCCACAGGGTGAGGCACCTTAAGAACTATCTTGATAAAAAAAAAAACTACTTCATGGCAAAATATTTGCAAACTAAGATTGCAGGTGGAATAAGAATGGAGAAAAAAAACGACAGAG